CAATCTGATCATTTACACTCTGATTACAGTAATTAACTGGCTGTGCTATATAATGATACTGAGTATCTATACCCTGATAGAGCACTCTACTTATATAGCAATCTGATCATTTACACTCTGATTACAGTAATTAACTCTCTGTGCTATATAATGATACTGAGTATCTATACCCTGATAGAGCACTCTACTTATATAGCAATCTGATAATTTACACTCTGATTACAGTAATTAACTCGCTGTGCTATATAATGATACTGAGTATCTATACCCTGATAGAGCACTCTACTTATATAGCAATCTGATCATTTACACTCTGATTACAGTAATTAACTCGCTGTGCTATATAATGATACTGAGTATCTATACCCTGATAGAGCACTCTACTTATATAGCAATCTGATCATTTACACTCTGATTACAGTAATTAACTGGCTGTGCTATATAATGATACTGAGTATCTATACCCTGATAGAGCACTCTACTTATATAGCAATCTGACCATTTACACTCTGATTGCAGTAATTAACTCGCTGTGCCATATAAGGATACTGAGTATCTATACCCTGATAGAGCACTCTACTTATATAGCAATCTGATCATTTACACTCTGATTACAGTAATTAACTGGCTGTGCTATATAATGACACTGAGTATCTATACCCTGATAGAGCACTCTACTTATATAGCAATCTGATCATTTACACTCTGATTACAGTAATTAACTCGCTGTGCCATATAATGATACTGAGTATCTATACCCTGATAGAGCACTCTACTTATATAGCAATCTGACCATTTACACTCTGATTACAGTAATTAACTCGCTGTGCTATATAATGATACTGAGTATCTATACCCTGATAGAGCACTCTACTTATATAGCAATCTGACCATTTACACTCTGATTACAGTAATTAACTCTCTGTGCTATATAATGATACTGAGTATCTATACCCTGATAGAGCACGCTACTTATATAGCAATCTGATCATTTACACTCTCTGATTACAGTAATTAACAAGCTGTGCTATATAATGATACTGAGTATCTATACCTGATAGAGCACTTTCTACTTATATAGCAATGCGAGTCATTTACACTCTGATTACAGTAGTACTCTCTGTGCCATATATAATGATACTGAGTGTCTATACCCTGATAGAGCACTCTACTTATATGTAATCTGATCATTTACACTCTGATTACGGTAATTAACTTCCGTATTGCTATATATTGATACTGAGTAGCTATACCCTGATAGAACTCTACTTATATGGCAATCTGACCATTTTACACTCTGATTGCAGTAATTAACTCTCTGTGTATATAATGACACTGAGTATCTATACCCTGATAGAGCACTCTATTTATATAGCAATCTGATCATTTACACTCTGATTACAGTAATTAACTCTCTGTGCCATATAATGATACTGAGTATCTATACCCTGATAGAGCACTCTACTTATATAGCAATCTGATCATTTACACTCTGATTACAGTAATTAACTCGCTGTGCCATATAATGATACTGAGTATCTATACCCTGATAGAGCACTCTACTTATATAGCAATCTGACCATTTACACTCTGATTACAGTAATTAACTGGCTGTGCTATATAATGACACTGAGTATCTATACCCTGATAGAGCACTCTACTTATATAGCAATCTGATCATTTACACTCTGATTACAGTAATTAACTCGCTGTGCTATATAATGACACTGAGTATCTATACCCTGATAGAGCACTCTACTTATATAGCAATCTGATCATTTACACTCTGATTACAGTAATTAACTCTCTGTGCTATATAATGATACTGAGTATCTATACCCTGATAGAGCACGCTACTTATATAGCAATCTGATCATTTACACTCTGATTACAGTAATTAACTCGCTGTGCTATATAATGATACTGAGTATCTATACCCTGATAGAGCACTCTACTTATATAGCAATCTGATCATTTACACTCTGATTACAGTAATTAACTGGCTGTGCTATATAATGATACAGAGTATCTATACCCTGATCGAGCACTCTACTTATATAGCAATCTGATCATTTACACTCTGATTACAGTAATTAACTGGCTGTGCTATATAATGATACTGAGTATCTATACCCTGATAGAGCACTCTACTTATATAGCAATCTGACCATTTACACTCTGATTACAGTAATTAACTCTCTGTGCTATATAATGATACTGAGTATCTATACCCTGATAGAGCACTCTACTTATATAGCAATCTGATCATTTACACTCTGATTACAGTAATTAACTCGCTGTGCTATATAATGATACTGAGTATCTATACCCTGATAGAGCACTCTACTTATATAGCAATCTAATCATTTACACTCTGATTACAGTAATTAACTCGCTGTGCTATATAATGATACTGAGTATCTATACCCTGATAGAGCACTCTACTTATATAGCAATCTGATCATTTACACTCTGATTACAGTAATTAACTCGCTGTGCTATATAATGATACTGAGTATCTATACCCTGATAGAGCACTCTACTTATATAGCAATCTGATCATTTACACTCTGATTACAGTAATTAACTCGCTGTGCTATATAATGATACTGAGTATCTATACCCTGATAGAGCACTCTACTTATATAGCAATCTGACCATTTACACTCTGATTACAGTAATTAACTCGCTGTGCTATATAATGACACTGAGTATCTATACCCTGATAGAGCACTCTACTTATATAGCAATCTGACCATTTACACTCTGATTACAGTAATTAACTCGCTGTGCTATATAATGACACTGAGTATCTATACCCTGATAGAGCACTCTACTTATATAGCAATCTGATCATTTACACTCTGATTACAGTAATTAACTCGCTGTGCTATATAATGATACTGAGTATCTATACCCTGATAGAGCACTCTACTTATATAGCAATCTGATCATTTACACTCTGATTACAGTAATTAACTCGCTGTGCTATATAATGATACTGAGTATCTATACCCTGATAGAGCACTCTACTTATATAGCAATCTGATCATTTACACTCTGATTACAGTAATTAACTGGCTGTGCTATATAATGACACTGAGTATCTATACCCTGATAGAGCACTCTACTTATATAGCAATCTGATCATTTACACTCTGATTACAGTAATTAACTGGCTGTGCTATATAATGACACTGAGTATCTATACCCTGATAGAGCACTCTACTTATATAGCAATCTGATCATTTACACTCTGATTACAGTAATTAACTGGCTGTGCTATATAATGATACTGAGTATCTATACCCTGATAGAGCACTCTACTTATATAGCAATCTGATCATTTACACTCTGATTACAGTAATTAACTCGCTGTGCTATATAATGATACTGAGTATCTATACCCTGATAGAGCACTCTACTTATATAGCAATCTGATCATTTACACTCTGATTACAGTAATTAACTGGCTGTGCTATATAATGACACTGAGTATCTATACCCTGATAGAGCACTCTACTTATATAGCAATCTGATCATTTACACTCTGATTACAGTAATTAACTGGCTGTGCTATATAATGATACTGAGTATCTATACCCTGATAGAGCACTCTACTTATATAGCAATCTGACCATTTACACTCTGATTACAGTAATTAACTCGCTGTGCTATATAATGATACTGAGTATCTATACCCTGATAGAGCACTCTACTTATATAGCAATCTGATCATTTACACTCTGATTACAGTAATTAACTCGCTGTGCTATATAATGATACTGAGTATCTATACCCTGATAGAGCACTCTACTTATATAGCAATCTGATCATTTACACTCTGATTACAGTAATTAACTCGCTGTGCTATATAATGATACTGAGTATCTATACCCTGATAGAGCACTCTACTTATATAGCAATCTGATCATTTACACTCTGATTACAGTAATTAACTCGCTGTGCTATATAATGATACTGAGTATCTATACCCTGATAGAGCACTCTACTTATATAGCAATCTGATCATTTACACTCTGATTACAGTAATTAACTCGCTGTGCTATATAATGATACTGAGTATCTATACCCTGATAGAGCACTCTACTTATATAGCAATCTGACCATTTACACTCTGATTACAGTAATTAACTCGCTGTGCTATATAATGATACTGAGTATCTATACCCTGATAGAGCACTCTACTTATATAGCAATCTGATCATTTACACTCTGATTACAGTAATTAACTCGCTGTGCTATATAATGATACTGAGAATAAAGAGATTATTTACTGTATAGTCACATAAAGAAACACTAGGTATAGTGTACATTCTACAGTACGCTGACTGTACATGCGTTCCTTTTGTTGCCATAGCAATCCCCAAAACAAGGTTTAAGGTTTTTAAAGATTAACTACATTGTATTTGGGAAGGTGTTACAGGGCTCAGCACGATGCTTCTATATTTTGCATTTTATCAACGTCACACCTAACTAAACATGTTATCTCAGCTCATTGAGTAATAGCGGAAGTAAATAACCACACGTTTACACGTCTTATCAGAACGCAGAGTCTTTGTCCAGCACTGTGTATGAAGCATTAAAGGAGACACAGGGCTCCAAGTTTAAGTAGATTGTATTAGTCAAGCATTGCGTGTTTCTTATTCTCGATAACAATTCCCATTCTTCCTAAAATAGACTAGTACATGAAAGGACCAGACCCATTGTCTATGGATTAATGAAGTAATACCTTTCTTAATTATCCCTCCACTAACCCCACCCAAACAAAATACTTCATTCCATTTAAAGGTATGAG